CGAGAGGCAAAACTGTAAGTAGGCCTTATTTTCGGAGGATGTCTTATTTTCGGGGAAACAGGGTATTCTGAAACCTGTCATATTTGCATTGTAATTCATGAAAGAAGGGATTACTCTTTGCGATCACCTCTGTTCCAGGAGTGGTGCATGTGTCTAAATAAGACACTCTGAATATATGCAGACTCCACCTTATTGATTTCTTCTCCACTGGGAAGCTAGCCTGCAAGACTCCAGACATCTGCTACTACTCAGCAGAAGTGCAGCAATATAATTCCTGTCCTTGACTGACCCTTTCTCACTGGGTCCCTTTCCATCTTTATATGTCTCCTACCTCCCTGCTCATGTTCTATCTATAATCACAATTAGTCACTTCATTTCAACATCTCAACTGAATCTCTGCTATTGTCACATCACGCCTTTCCTCCATCTGCTTTGAAATAAAACTTTTATTTGACCATTCCTCATTCTCCTTATTCCTGTCCCATTGCCCATCCTCCTACTCATCAGCAAGGTTCTGCATAAGCTTCTATCTCTTCTCAGACCATGATCTATGAGACAATCGTCACTGCTATTTTTTTTTTTGGCATTGTACCTTTTCACTGTACCTTCCATGCAAATCAACCGTAGCTCCTTGCCTTTGATCACAGAGTCCTCTTTTCTAGTCCTTCTTGATCACGTTGCAGCATTTTGGTGTCTTGTAGCATATGAGCTCAAACAAGAAGCCAGCACTTGTCTCTCTGAGGCTATGTCTACTCTTCAAGTTGGAAACTCAAATAGACATACCTGCACTAGCTCTGATAGTGTGCTAAAAATAGAAGTGTTGCTGTGGCAGGGTGAGTGGCAGGAGGGCCTAGCCATCCTCAGTATAATTCTATCCGAGTCACTAGGTACGTACTTGGGCAGCTGGCATCTCTGTCACTTGTGCCACTGTGGCTCTGCTTCTATTTTTAGCACGCGAGCGCGATCAGAGCTAGCATGGGTATGTCTCCTCAAGCTGGAAATTATGCTTCCAGTTCAAAGTGTAGCTATATCCTTACTGTGAATCCAATACTTCTAACTAGGGAAAAGCCCAACTCCAAACACTCAAACCCACCTGAATCTTTGGATATCCAGAATCTGAATGTTGTTTCTCTGGCCCATTTTTAATTTTGAACCAATTATTTCTTTCTAATAAAGAATGACAACTTAGGCTCCAGCCCTGCAAATGGGACTGAAGAGGAACTTGAGTGGCACATAGACATTGTGCAGGTTCTCTGTACAGGTATGAATTTCACCCTTACTGCTGATCTTTCAGCAGAAATAAAGAACCATCTTAACCCACCCTTCTGCAAAGCAACTAGAAAGGACAGATTTGATTTTGTCTGCAGTGTAGTTGTAGCTGTGTCAGTCCCAGGATATTAGAGAGACAAGGTCACTGCGGTGGTAATATCTTTTATTGGACCAACTTCTGTTGGTGAAAGAGACATGCTTTCTAGCCAAACAGAGCTCTTGAAAAAGAGGTCTCTCTCAACAGAAGTTGGACCAATAAAATATATTACCTCACCCACCTTGTCTCTCTAATATTAAATTTAATCACTTTTAGTTCTTTTTTTATATCAGATTCCTCCTGTCTGATTTCCTGTATACTTCTGCAATGCTAATGTGTTCTGCAGTGTTTTGAACTTTCCCAATATTTGCCATTTTTTCTTAAAGCCCCAGCATTAAGTGATTGATGTGAAAATCACAGTTTTCATTTAAAAATAAATGAAAGTTTCTAGTTCAAGAGAAAAGCTTGAAAACACGAATCCTAAAGATTCAGAAACTAGAATACAAAATAAGCCCCAAATGTGTCACTTAAAAAAAAAAATTCTCAAGAATGGTTTAAAAAAAATCATAGGAGAAACACTGATTCCTGCTTATGCTGTAGTTCTAAAATGGTCATCAGATTAGCTAGGGCAACGAAACTTGAAATAATCAGCCATAAAAATAAGCTTTCGGGGTAGCAATGAATCACAAGCTGCTAGACTGTGTTTAACAAAAGAATTGAATGAGCAGGCTGAACACTATTTTGGAGCAGTTTACTAAGCATGCAGAAGTCAGACCCTGTCATGAGGAAGCAAAATCTTTCCGAGGGCCAGAGCTGCCTGAAAGTACTGTAGTATTGTTCAGACAGAGTAAAAAAAGCTATTAGGGTAAACGTTAGTCTTGCTAAAATGTCTCTGCTGCCTTTGATATATGATTACTGGACTCTTGGCTGCCGATTGCGTTTGCAACTGAACAGACACATTCACAAAAGGTTGCACAGTTCCTTGATCTCATTCATTTCTTGATACTTTATAAAAGTCTTGATCTTCTAGCTGTACCTTGTGTCCCAGGTGTGAGTCCCTGATTCAAATGCCCCTCAACATTGGTCTAATCATCCCAGTGGCCTATGGTAATCACCGAACTTAAGTCCATGATTTGAATGCTCCTCAGCTCTGGGGAAAGTTTAGGTCTCGAACAAAATTTGTCCTTTATCTTAGTGCATGCAGTTCTTATTGAAGCCTACACTGCTAAATGGCTCCATCCTACATATCAATACTATTTCTAAACAATGCACATTTAATCTATTTTAAGTAATAATAAAGACCCTCATGCAGCCCTTTAGTTGCATTCTGTAAAAATGACACTGCATATCTCATGGTGAAATTCACCCCTGTGCAAAGAGGCAGTACAAAGCTTATGAATCACTTAAGTCCTACTTAAGCTTTATTTTGAGGACTTAAATAGTTCATTGGCCGTTTGCTGGGGTGAAGTTAATCCTCGATAATTAAGATAACAGATTTATTAAGTTTTCAAGTATAAAAGGTGGTTTTCCAGCTCCGGTCCTGAAACCTGAGCCTAGGATCTGAAACTCCATCCAGGTTCTGTGTCTCTTGCAATTATCACCACTAATAAAGAATCTGCAGGACAGATCCTGCCCTCAGTTAAGCAGTTACATGGGGCCAGATCCTTGGCTTGTGTAAATTTACACCAGGCCTGCGGCCTTTGTATTAGGCCCTCAGTGAAACCTGACTTAGTCCTGCTGTACTCATTGGGTTTGCACTGGTATAGCTGAAAGCAAAATATGGCCCTGCCTTTGGAGATTTTTTAATAATTCTGTTGATAATTACAGTCTCCCATAGCTGCCTGTGTTGGCTGTGCAGTACTGACAGACGACAAACTTCCTTTGGTCACTAAACCAACCAGATATGACTTTGAATACTCTCACTGAATAAATCTGATTAAGAAGGCACCTTTTGAACTCAGTCTCTTCACAGATATATGCTATATAAAAGTGGCAGATTCAGAATTCGCTTATCACTAAACATTACCTGGGTCTGCTAGATATTCATAATCATATCCCAACTCCCTTGATGGGGTAAAAAATTCTCCATTTCTGTAGAGAGGAATAAATGGGACCATGTAATTTTCACGATTGTGGCCAATGGGTGCATTGGCTGCTGGGTAAACTTCTCGCAGAGGTCTGTGTCTTCTAAGCCATTGTTCAAAAATACTGTAGAAGAAAGAGAATGTGGATTAATACTGTAAATAGACAACAATGCTCCTCTTTGCAACAACAGGGAAACTCAGAGGGCCTGATTCGCTACCCTGATCCCTGAGGAGTGATTAATACCTGTCCAAAGTGAATTTGGGGGTATGTGTAAAACGCTATCAAATCAGCATGCTGGCATTTTACGCCTACCAGGTTCTCAGCACAGCTGTAAGTGCTGCACAAAGTGCAAGCCAGTGAAGGCTCAGGCTTGGTATCTGCAATGCTGTGCAGATACTGGTTATGTTTTATAATTCGGTGACTGTAATTTATGCAGCAATTCTAGTGTAATTACACTGTGGTTGTGCTTTCGGATAGTTAATTTCTACTAATTCACATAACCAGAATGTTAACTATGGGACTGAGTTAAGTGTATTACTGTCCCTTTGATTTCATACTTAATATGTGTGCTCTTTAGAATCTAGGCACATTGTAATCCGTCTAAGCATTCATTTAGTATAGCAGGGTGGTAGCACTATAGTTAAGGTTGAGACTAGCTTACTCTTGAACAACTGATTTCTCCAAGGTTGTCTAAAATCCACATGCTTATTTAGATTGTCTTGAAAACTGCTGGGCGTCGTGATGGCTTGGGGCAGTGTTAGTGGTCCAAATTGGAGGTGGTTTGAACAAGGTGGTTTGACATACAGCCCCTCCCCGCTCAAAATCAGGTGATATCAAAATGTCATGGTTCTTAAAGCTCAGGGCGACGTGCTGTGGCCACTGAACCCGAACAGCAGCACTGTACTGTGAGTTGGAGTCCTGGTAGCTTTCTGAGAATGTATTGTGCATATTTATTGCTCAGTTCTGTAGGAGCTCCTTCTGGAGATTATGCTCCGGGAACAAAGTTTCTGGCTTATGAGCTGATATTTCAAAGCGCTCTGATATTCACATGCATGCTCAGATTTTACTTAAGAAGTATCATCTAGGAAAATGACATTAAATAAATAGAGGGAGGACAAAAGTTTGTTGACAAAGTTGACAAAAGTTCTATTCTAAGGACGGGGGTAAGGTTGACATTGTTTGATACAGTGCCAGGATACAGACACAGAGCGGTAACTTAAGTTTATCACGAAAAATAAACACTGACACCATTTTCACCATTACCCATCTTATCTACACAAACCAAAAGCTTTACCAAAATCAAGATATACCACATCTACCACTTCCCCCCCCATCCACCAGGCTTGTTTCTGTGTGAAAGAAAGCTAACATGTTGGTTTGACATGATTTGTTTTTGACAAATCCATGCTGACTGTTACTTATCACATTATTATCTTCTAGATGTTTGCAAATTAATTGATTGATTAATTATTTGCTCCATTATCTTTCCAGATACAGAAGTTAAGCTGACTGGTCTGTAATTCCCTGGATTGTCTTTATTTCCCTTTTTATAGATGGGCACTATATTTGGCCTTTTCCAATCTTCTGGAATCTCTCCCGTCTTCCATGACTTTTCGAAGATAATCGCTAATGCCTCAGATATCTTCTCAGTCAGCTCCCTGAGTATTCTAGGATGCATTTCATCAGGCCCTAGTGACTTGAAGACATCTAATTTGTCCAAGTAATTTTTAACTCGTTCTTTCTCTATTTTAGCTTCTTCCGATCCTACCTCATTTTCACTGGCATTCACTACTTTAGACATCCAATCGCTACCATCCTTCTTGGTGAAAAGTGAAACAAAGAAGTCATTAAGCACCTCTGCCATTTCCACATTTTCTGTTGTTATTCCCCCCCCCACCCCCGCATTGAGTAATGTGCTTACCTTGTCCTTGGTCTTCCTCTTCTAATGTATTTGTAGAAAGTTTTCTTGTTACCCTTTGTCTCTAGCTAGTTTGATCTCGTTTTGTGCCTTGGCATTTCTAATTTTGTCCCTACATATTTTCAATATGTTAGGTTTTGTGTCTGAAATCCCTGTCCTGATCTCCAGGTGCCTACACTGCAATAATCTCATCACACAAGGGGAAATTCACACATTAGCAGCATGCTCATGGACGGCTCAGGAATCTCCTTGAATGGGGAAGGGAGTGATCAGATACAAGGGATAGCCTGTCCACCCACTACATATGGGAGAGGAGGGCTCCATGCTGGCTTAGAAACTGCTGTTGCAGAGGCAAACTTTGGGGACAAGCTAGGGGCGGGATCAGGGATTCAGAGGTTGGAACCACCAGGAAGGTGCAAGACAGAGCTGTGAGTCACACTTCAATCCAGCTACAGTGACTGGTGAGGGGCTGTGGAGAATGCTCCATGCCCTGGCCATTAGTTGGGGGATGTATATTTCTACCATAGGTAATCTAATCTTTATCAGTTCAGGGAAAGGGTTTCTCCAGACTACCCCAACAGCTGAACTCGGCACTAACATGTCTATAAGCTATACAAGGATTCTGCATGCAAGTTGCACCTTTCATCATCGGAGAAAAATGGCTGACTCTAATTCAGAAACATCCTGCTTATGCCAGCAAATGAAAGCTCTTTCCCAACCAGGCAGAACTAGGACCAGAACCTCAGTTCTTTTTTAGGACCAAACAATTTAATAGATGAAAGAGTTGCTGTGTTCATCCACCTTGTCAACCCCCCAAAATGAAGGTATTAATCTTGATTAAATTCTTCATTTGTGGCTCTCATCTTTTTAGCTAATTTCATCAGCCTTGTCTAGAAGAACTCTCTTGTCAGAATAATAATGCTCAGCTGAGGCAATCAGATTTGAAATAATTGTTCAATTTTGTCAAACTTTAACTTCTATTTAAACAAAAAAAGGAAGTTGGAATAGAAACTCTGATCAGCTTAAACTTCCAGAAAACAGTTTGCAACATAAAGAGGTTCAGTGACCACTAAATAAACGTGCAAAACCAAACAGGATGGATGGTTCTGTGATTAGAACACTAGACTAGGGCTTGGGAGACCTTGGGTACATGACTTAGTCTCTGTGTCTCAGTTCTCCATCTGTGAAATGGGATAATAGTACTTCTCTGTCTAATAGAGAAATTGTGAGGTGCTCATATACATATGGTACTGGAAACCATAGCAGTATCTTTAGACAGAAGTAGGAACTAAGACCAGGATTTTCGAAGGTGGGTGATGCTGTGGCTGTCTCAACTTATGGGTGCCTTAATTTTTGAATGCTCAGCCTGGGATGCCTTATGGGTTTCTGAGCACCTTGGTTCTGAACATCCAGCCTTTGTAAGGTGTCTTGAGTTCAGAACCTAAATTGCGAGTCACTGGAAAACCTTGCTCTAACCAATATGCAGTTTCACAAACTAAAAGGGAGATTTTTCAAAGGCACAACAACCGGCCAAACAATGCTTATGCCTTTGAATATTATTATTTGTATTATGGTAGCACCTTAGAGCCCTAATCATGGACTCCATTGTGTTAGGCACAGAACAAAAAGGTGGTCCCTGCCCCAAGGAGAGATCTACCACCAAATCAATACACCACACTTGCATTTTGCCTTTGTTGACAGAATCTGGTCTCTTATATAGTGTAACCAGCGACAATGTGGGCTAGTAGGTACAGCAGGGAACTGAGAGTGGGGAGACCTGACTTCTGTTTCCTGGCTATGCTAATGACTTGTTGCATGACCTTGAGGAAATCACCACACCATGTCACCATGCCTCATTAAAATGATTTAAGATTCTCCAATGATCGGTGCTATATATGTGCAATGTGTTATTACTGTAGCAAAATAACTGAATTCATAAACAGACATTTAGTACCATTTTAATAATATTAGGAAAAAAACTTTCTAATTATAAAGGTAAATAAGTTCTGGCATAGGCTTCCTAGGGAGGTTGTGAAATCCCCATCACTGGAGGTGTTAAGAACATGTTGGACAAACACTTGTCAGGGATGGTCCAAGTTTATTTGATCCTGCCTCAGTGCAGGGCTGGACTTGATGACGTCGCAAGGTCCCTTCTAGCTTTACATTTCTAAGATCCTATTCTGAACTTCGCCACAGACCTGCTCTGTGAATTTCAGCAAGGTCACTTAACATCCAGGTGCCTCAGCATCACCAGGTGAAAAGGGATGGTAAATGATTCCCCAAGATGAAAGGTAATGAAGACTCCCACTAGGCTGACACTTCAATTGTTTGAATTTTCATGCATGATTGTGTTCTGTTGAAATGTACTTTGCTTTTGCAAAGAGCTTTGAGACGGTGAGTTGTAAGGGGCAGACCTTTCCCGTACAAAGAAAATTAAACCCATCCATAAAAAGCAGGAATATAACATTTTCCTGTGATTACATATCAGATGGATTTGAATCTTTTCCTTGTAGCACTGTCCAATACATACCAGATTATAGAAAAATAACTGAAATGAGCCTTAGTGGAAAATTAATTTTAAGAAGGTTGGTTTAGGGGTTCGGGGGCAGGGGGAGGAGGAAGGCGAGTCATTTGATGGTGATTAAAAAAAAAAAGCCACCAAAAAAAATTGCTGGATATGTATTGTTCCATGAATAATATATGCAGCACAGATTATGGCTAATGAAGCAATGATTCAAGAAAATGAATAAGCGTATGATAAAAATAGTCACATTTGCTGCCAGTGAGAAAGATAAAAGATAGCATAAACTGCATTGCTGCATGTAATTCCATTATGGTGTTAAATAATGGGCTTTCCTAGAACATGTTGTGCACAAGAACATGTTGTGTACAAGGAGAGAATCTTAAAACCTGGAACAAGTGATGTAGAATAACTGGAGAAGTTATTTCCCTTGTAAGTCCTCCGCTGTGGTGCATTCTCTGTTACTGGACATTTTAAAATCACGGCTAGATGTTTTTCTAAAAGACATGCTGTAGTTCAAGCACAGTTATTGGACTTGAAGCAGGAAGTCGTTCAGGGAAGTCCTATGGCCAGTGTTATGCAGGAGGTGAGACTAGATCAATAATTTTCAACCTTTTTTCATTTGTGGACCCCTAAAAATTTTTGAATGGAGGTGCGGACCCCTTTGGAAATTCCAACTGTGGT